CCTGAGAAGAAGTCTCTTATATCCGGGTTTCTCTTATACCCGGGTTTCTCTTATATCCGGGTTTGGTCTATTTTGTTTACATTAACACAGGCTCTAATTTGGGACCAGAGAAAATTTCTCTTATATCCGGGTCTCTTATATCCGGGTTATACTGTATAATACGCCACATATATCTTCAAGAATGCTTTAGAAATTCATTTTACACATTAGAAATTGAAATTAATAAAAAAAAAACAATTCTTGTAATGATTCATTGGTCATATAAAGAGGTATATTTTATTTAGACTACATCCTTCATTTATATTATTTATGATAGCAGTTAAAGGCTTATACAATTAAATAATTAGATAGTTTTAAAGCAGTTTTTATGTTACAATTCGGAGCATATCTAGTGGAATTTAGTAATAGCTTGAGAAAAAAAATTAAAAAATATATCTGATGATACGTTGCTCTTAGTAGGGCTAGAAATAAGTAGACTCTGAAATTGCAGATTGAATCTGCGGACTGTCAAGGATTACTCAAACCTTCCACTGGTTACACAAAAATATTTGGAACTTTTGCAGTAAATGTTGATTGTAAATATGTAACATTTATGAGGATAATATACGGATATTTTTCCTTAGGTATTTATAAATTGTACACTTCAGTTATTGACGTTAACAACGGACTATTTTAATTACAAAATTGTACTTGGATTAAACGAAAATTACTTACAATATAATACATATTACTTATAATAAATTCTTTTATGCAGTCAATTTTGACGGCACAGGTATACTAGATTTTCTAAAATTAACTACTCTCACTCTCTCTTTCTTCTTTTTCTACATTTCCGACATGTTCTATGCTTAACACTTTGCCGTCTTTCTCACATTTTCCTACCATTTTCTATAACTATCTACTTCCACTTCTCTTTCTCTTCCATCTTTTTTCTTTTTTTTTTCTACTTTTTGTCTCTTTTTTTTGTTCATGCTTCGTTTTTCCTTCTTTTTCATTCCTCCTTTTCTTTTTCTTCATATGTTTATTCATTTTGTACTTTTTCTATAATTATCTTTTTTTCTACGTCTTCTCTCTTCATTGCCTTATTCCTCCTTTTTTCTATATTTTTCTATGGTTAACTACCGTATTTAGATTGACTGATTTTTTACGGTTTATCAACCCTCTGAAGATTATTTAAAACCAGAAAATATTTGAGGATTCTAAGAATTTCTTTTGGAGATAATACTGATTTAATTGATACATGTCATACAATTTAACCCACAGATGGGGAAAAAGTAGATTCATATCTTTCCCCATTCTGGGTATGACGATAAACTAAGTCCAACAACAAGGCTTCTGATCAGGAGGTTTTGAGGAGTGTAGAACCACCTCATAACTGCTGATGTTCCCAGGTCCACCCAGCCCCAGAGTAATAGTACCTGTTAGGGTCCCAACTATGGGAAAATAGTTACCCCCAACCATTGCTGAAAACATTATGAAAGTGTAAAAATAGGTTTTAATACCAGAAATACATTGTAAAAAAAAAATTATTACCAGCAATACATTTTAAAACAAAAAAAAAAGATATTACCAGCTCTACATTTTTGAAGAAAAAATATTATAAAAATTTTGTCGTCATTAAATAACCCATTGAGGTTGATATGCCGTAAACAAACCAAAAATCATATCTTTCCCAATGGTATTTGCGTGTAAGTGAATATAACTAGACCGACTATATTAGAACTCGGCTCTCCAGTTTCAAATTTCGAGCCGTTGTCCATTACACCGACCGCACATCCAAGCTTACGGCTTGCTATTCTGAAGCGGTCAACCAGCTAGATATTGACCAGGATTGACGTTGCTGAACCTGATCGGCTAAGAAACGGTGTTTCAATTTGATATGACCGTAAACCCCGTGTTTGGAGACTTATAAAGACGTCCTCCTACGTTTACATTTAATATTACCGAATTATGGTCTTACGCTAGCTATACTGTGGGATCTAAGTAAACATTAAGCTAACAAATACCTGAACTACGCCTATAAAATGCAGGAAATATTTCTGAAACTTTTTTTTTCCTTTGAGGTGGGGAAGAATAGTGTCTTTCTGCTCCTCGGCCATCTCTCTTCCTTCTCGTTTATCTTTTTCCACATTTACTTCTTTTTATCCTCTTATATTAAATATAAGTACCGGCAAAAATAATGTATGTATTTCAATTTACCCCTCCCCAGCACAGTGGATATATCGTTCGGCACACCTATTAACTTTAAAATAAATTTCTCCACGACACGATTATTTTGTTTGACGTTTACATGCCTTCTGCCACATCTAAGCTACGTATAGAATATTATTATAAACTATGTCAGGTCTCTCTACAAGTGCCACTGGCACTATGTAACCCAATATTACCTACCGCGTGGTCGACTTATCAGCAAGTAAACCGATTCCCCCACCAGGCTTTGCTGTCAGGCGAATGGTTAGACACCAAGCAGAATTAAAAGCAAAACCTGGGAATGGGCGGACGAGCCGTTTTGTAGGGTCAACATTCATATAGCATATGTGGTAGACTGGACTCCATAGCTATATAGGCAAACACAGTGCGCAGACACGATGCGCAGACACGGCGCGCAGACACAGAGGCTTTTCCGTTGGGATGAAGGTGTAGTATCTGTTCTACCCTCATTTTTAATGAATAACGGCTAGGAACTGGAACCGAGTTCCAATTTTAGTTGGATTTGTTGTATTCCCTTACGCGCAAATACTATTGGAAAAGGTATGAATCCACTTCTTGTCCCCCAATTATGGGTTAAATAGTAGAAATTGTGTCAGTAAATCATTATTATCTAAAAAAAATGCTTACAATTTTAAAATATTTTCTGGCTTTAAAGGTTGATAAGTAAAAAAAAATCAATCTATTTTTTCTTTCAATCATTTCTTCTGGTTTATTTTGCTTTTTTATTGTTGTTGTTGTCGTTGTTTTTTAGACGACTAACAGGTTAGACTCGAAAGGAAATTCATTAATTCAGTGAATCCACTTTGATCGCCACACTAAGATTTTGTTAAATCTCTACAGTCGTCTTTCTTTCCACTCTCTCGATTCTCATATCTTTCTTTTTTAGTCTTTTTTTTTTCTTTCTCTTCATCAAATATGTTGTTTTTTTTTTCTTCTGACCTTGCTGATTTTATTCTCTTTTTTCCTGATCTTCATGTTTTATTTTTTTTCTTTTGCTTTCATTTTACTCGATTTCATTCAATCAGTCATTCTCTTTCATCCTTTCTACAATAAAATTGCTCTCATCGCATTTTTTCTTTCTCAATTTTGTTCTAACATTTTTTTTTTTTTTTACCCATTTTCTAATGTATTCCTTCTTTTCATCGTATTGGGGTTCATTTCCTGTCTTGTAAATCCATCTTTCTTTCATTTTTCTTTCATTCTTTTTTTTTATTTTTAATTATTTTTTATTTATTCTTTATACCATTGGTCACACTTTTTATGGGATATTTCCTGTATATCTTTCTTTCTATAACATTTTTAGATAATAATGATGTTATTGGTCTCTCTCTCTTTTTCGTAAATATTTATTTTTCTAACATTTTAAAACCTTTTCCTTATTCCCCGTGTTATTTGTCTCTTTTCTAAATCTATCTCTTTCTAACAATATTTTCCTTTCTTTTTCTTATTCTTTTATCCTTTTTCTCTTCTAAATATTAAACCGATTGATATTTGTTTTCGCGACCCAAATGTTGTTGGACAATGGGCACATATATCGGGGCTATTTTTTCACGCTAAATCTGAAAATCAAGTCCATTTTGTCTCATCAAATCACATTTTCTCAATACAGATAATTTACATTTTGCTTAAAATAGGGCAAAATGCTTAACTTACAGGGATATACCACGGCTTAAATATGGGAATGACATAGTTGAAACATTTCGTTTCCTGTTAAAATGACTTATCATTCAAGAAAAAGTATCCAAATAACTTTCAAAATGAATTCTAAGCTATTTCAGTTCAGATAAGCTGACATGAAAATGCTTGATTTTATGAGAGATATCTCACCGGAAAATGTGCCCGCAATGTTCTTAGCTTGTTAAAACTTTGTGATTTGTGCTTCTTCACAATTTTTCATAGAAGCTCTTTAGAAGTCATTCAAGAATAGCGATTTCTGTTTTTAATAGTAGTTTTCACTTTCAGCTTGAAACGTCAGAAGATTTTATCATATCGCTTGAATTTACGGAGATCTGGTATTGTCATGCAGTCCTGTATAACATGCATAAATGAGAGTTGTTAGGTTGTTCGCTGACTGTATTTGAAACTAACAAGATTAGAATTTTTTATGAGCACTTAAAATAGCCGCCAAACACCAGATAGGCATAGCCAACTAGGTACTTTGCTGATAGAATGTTAAGATGATGGCTGATTTCTGCTGGAGCATCAAAAGCGATAAACCTTTTCAAAAGCATCGTAGAGTTTTCAAGAAGAGAAGATTTATACCTTTGGATGGACAAAAATGAATGTATTTTTCATTCCTTTCTATCTTCTTTGTCTGTTTTGATTTAAACATTGATGACACATGTTTGCCTTAATTTAATTTTGTGTGCGATTTTTCTGAAAACTTTTTCTGTACTGAAAATACTGAAAATGCATTGTTTAAATTATTGATATACTTTTTCTTTTATGATAAGTTATAACATGAAAACGTTTAAGGTTGGTTCTACATGGTCCTGGCATATCACTTCTAAATGGATATTTTGGCCTATTTTAAGAGAAATAGAAATTATCTGTGTTGAGAAAACATTATGTTATGAGGCACAATGGATTGATTTTCAGATTCAGCGTAAAAAATAACCCAGATACATGTGCCCATTGCCCAAAAACATTTGCGTCGAAAAAAAAAAAGGCGACCGATGTTATTGCTCTCGCTTTTTTTTGTAAATCTTTCCTTATGTCTATTTCAGTCTAAACTTTTTTATCTTGATTTTCTAACATATTCATAATCTGGATGTTATTAGTCTCTCTTTATTAATATCTCCTTAACTCTATTTGTTTCTAAAACTTTTCTACTTTCAAGTGCTTATACTTTTTCTCCGTGTTATTGGTCTTTATTTTATTTTAAATCTCTCTCTCTCTCTCTCTCTCTCTCTCTCTCTCTCTCTCTCTCTCTCTCTCTCTCTCTCCTATTTTTTTTTTTGTTTTTCCCTTCGCAATGATACGCGACAACAATGATCTCATCTGACCCTTTTATTCTTTCTCTGGTTCTCATGATTTTGCACAATTCTGCTTTCTCTGGACCCCAAGCCTCGTGGTTGTAAAACGGGCAAATAACTTGAAAAATGTTTAGGGCTTTATGAGAGAACCTACGTGCGCGTGTAAGTTCAGTCGTGTGTTTATGTGAGCGAGTGATAAAAAGAAAAGAAAGGGTCAGAATTAAGCGACAATATGGCGCATACCCGGAAGTTTATACTGTGTAACGTTGCTGCCATTTTAAAACAAGCGAAAGAAGAAAAAAAAACTGTGTAAAACAAAACAAAGGTGTATTGTTTTTCACAATAAGCAACAAAACGCATTTGAGCAAATAGCTGCAATGCTGACCCCACCCGCATTGTCAAACATAAATCAATGTAGAATCTGTAAAGGAAGAACGTGTTTACATCCATAAAAATGACGTCTGCGCTTCAACGGAAATCTCTGTGGAAATTTTCTCTAGTACTTACTTGTACATGATTTCTAGTTTCAACATAAATGTTCACAAATAAGTCTATAATTTAAAAAGTACAATGCCCACCTAGAAGGTACTCCGAGAAAACATACTTCTACTAAAGTCATTGTTGCTAAAAACTGAATTAAATTATCTGGAATAAGTAGCTGTGTAACCTTTTATTCTTTTACGTTTCGGTTTATTGTTTTAATATATCAAATATCTCTCAGTCGAAAATATTTAAGATGCAATCAATTGTTCATTGACTCATGAGTGACCCTTTCAGAAAATCACCCTAAATTTTATTGAGAACTTTCAACATAACACCTGGAGAGATATAGATAAATGCATAATGTCTCTACACTGCTGTTTCAAGATGTAATGTGTTTACAAATAATAAGTCCATAATATAAAAATTATAACGTCACCTAGAAAGCGCTCTGAGAGCACATACTTCTGGCAACGGCATTGCCGCTAAAAAACTTAATTAAACTCACTTCATAGCTATGACTGTTCCGTATTTTAGTTTGTTGTCGTAATATATGAAATAACTGTTATACGAAAAAGATCGTTTATTAATGTATACCTTTACAGGAAATGCTATTGAAATTTGTTTAAAATGTTATTGCCGTTTCCTTGAGCACCGTACAGACTACATATGTTTTACAATATCTTTTGAAGAGGTAATATTCGAAAAAAGTAACGGACATTTTATTTATTAAACCGATAGATTTTTTATCACTTTAAACGTTATTTTTAATGGCTAAACATATTTGAATAAACGCTTTGTTTATTTATTAGGCAGTATATTTATTTATTTACGTCTACCGGCCTGAATATTCGAGAAATTTTATTAAAAGAAAATATGCGCTCTCCAGCAGGATTCGAACCTGCATTAAATCTGACGTGTCTAAGTGATTTGGCCATGAAGAATCTTTGCCGATCAAACAAGGTCTGAAAAGTACCTTGAAGCGAAAACCATCTTGTCATAGATTCCTCTATAATATCACATCTGTTCAGTTTCGTATCCAAACGTAAACAAAGTAATTTTCAAAGGAGTAATAATTTTTTTTTTATTAATCCAATATATTTTTATCAGTTCAAATGTTGTTTTCAGTGGATACTCATTGTAATGACAAAAGTACGCTGGTGTAGGCTTTAAGAAAGCTTTATTCAACAGAGAATACGAGTTTCGCGTATAGTGACGTTTTATAGTCCCCGTAAACAGAAATAGCTCTCTCAAAGAGAAGAGTAACAAGACAAGGGGAGACCATTCTTGACTATTCATAACACTCATATTTGAGTAGACACTCCGCTTATTTATTAAACAGTGTATTGATTGATTTACGTCTACCGGCTTGAATATTCGAGAAATCTTATTTAAAAAAATTGTATGTTTGTCGACAGGATTCGAACTTACATCCTCCTGGACAGAGGAAAACTGTCGTTAAATTCAACGTACCTTAATGGACTGGACCACGAAAAAGCGTTGCCGATCAAGCAAGGTCTGAGCAGTGTCTTTAAACGAAATCCTTCTCGTCATAGATCACTCGAAATTATCATATCTGCTCAGTTAAACTCTTGTTTAAAAAAAAGTTGCTTCTACCCTTTATTTCTTGTGTAATCGATCAAGTGTTGTTGTACATTGTTTACAATCTAAACATTCATGTTAACTTTTAGTGTCTGATACAGACATGTTATTATATTTATAACAACATTTAACAATATAAGAATGATCATAACCTGCTATACTTCTGTGTTAAGATTTTACCAGCCACAAATATAACGTTGACTCGAAATTCCAAAAAAAATCTGTAATTTATGGCATAGCATTGCATTGGCTTCTTTTTCCACCATTTAATCCATATCTGCCTGACATCAGTTTAAACTGAAGTCTTCTTTTGCCCTTATATCGAAACTACAATTTAAGCTACGTTGGCTTGTTATCTACAAGAAAAAAATATCTACACCGTACAAATTTTATTTTGGAACGATATCTACATAGTGAAACATATTATAACATATATAATACATAAATAAAATGTAATTAAATTATTAAAAAAAATCTTTTATATTTCTTTTTTAGCGATAAACACCTTCTACATCGGCTATATAACATAGATAAAATGTAATTAAAATATTAAAAAACCAGTTCTATTAATAATATTCTAGCAATAAACAGTACGTACATAAGCTAAAATGCTATAAATGCTAAAAAGAAGTCAGTATAACCTAAAATAGATTCACGACACGTAGATCGCAATATAAAGTGTAGATTGCATACCAAAGTAGACTCATGACACGTAGATAATAAACCAAAGTAGCACCTGATAATTTTAAATTTAGAAAGTGAAAACTTCATTGAAATATGATAGAAAATTTCCCAGTATTCGTTTGAAATTTAAAAAAAAAAAGAAGACGAACTTGAAACAAAATGGTCAGAATTTATGGTAGGAAAGAAGAAAACATCAATTTTAACTGACGCTTAGGTAAATTTTGAAACTTGGAAAATGGATACAGGAAGCTGGAACGAAATTTTCGGTTTTGAAATCGCGAAAATCGCTGATTTTAGCACCATTTCAAGCACAATGTAATTCATTCTATTAAGAAAATCTTTAAAAAATAAATATACTTTTCTGAAACTTTATTTGAAGTATATTAACTGATTTAAAGTATAATTAATCTGATTTGAAACAAATATTACTTACTTCTAGTTTAAAATATCGCAGAAAATGCATTCGTCAACACGGAGGTAAGTGTTTATTTAAAGTGTTGACAGGTTGACACCTTGACTGACAGATGGACGTTTATTTAATTTTTCTTAAAAGAGACGATATGCCGTTAAACCAACAAACCAAACCAAACCTGGAAAATATAACATTAAACCATCAGAGATACATGTCCGTCATACTAAGTGACTAAAGAATAACTTGTTAAGGGAAATGTTTTTTCTTGATTTATGCTCAACTCTTTTATAGATCATGAGGATATGGAAGATATATAACGTTTGAATCTAGACTTGAAAAGGCTAAGATTGTAATCCTCTCTAGAGTCCGTTCCACAAACTAGCGGCTCTTGGGAAGGAGCTGTTCTAATAGAACTTCCTTCTTTGTAATGGAATACGAAGGGAATAAGGACTGTTGCCCCGCGGTATACATGGCAAGACAGGTCTAAGTTGTAAAGGTCTGAATTTGTCGAGCTAAAGAATGTATCTCGTCTGAACATTTGCCATGGAAATAGCAATAGAGTAGCGATAGTCTTGCAACGTTTTGTCTGTGGGGAAAGGGTCTGCGGGGTTAAAAAGTAATTAATGCATACAAAATCACGTAAATGCTTTTTGGCTCTTCCAAAGCTGAAGAAAATGGAATGAGCAGTTCCAGCTGATTGCTAATCGTTATTAAGACATAAAGGATGTTGGGTGGGGGGAGGGACTTGGGGGAGACCTGCATTGCCCCCATGCGCTTCAGAAGACTGGCCTTCTTGGATCTACCTCCTGTTGTGACTTTATTTCTCAATTTCTATTCCTGAGTATGACGATAAACTACATCTGGCAGCAAGGCCTCTGATAGGGAGATTGGAGGTTTTGAGGAGAGTGGGACCTCCTCTTAATTGCTGTTGTTCCCAGGTCCACCCTGACCGGGGTGGTAGCAGCTGTTAGGGCACCACCTAGGGGTAAACAGTGAACCACCAAAGACTATCAAAGTATATAAATACGTTTTTACAGTAAAAAATATCAGCAATACATCTTTATATAAAAAAATTGCCAACGATACATATTAGGTCCCCGCCCTACCATCAGTCACGATGAACGGAAGTCCCCTCAGGGAGGCGCCGTGGCTTGAAACACACATCTGGCCTCAAACACATATCTGGCCTCAAGTAGAACTCGTACATACGATCCATTGCTAAAGATACAGGTAAAATGGTCGGCTGTCTGTACCTCTCCAGAAAGTACCTGGCTCCTCATGTTATCCCGTATCTTTACAAGATTCAGATCGTGCCCAAAATGGAGAGCTGTTGCCATTTTGGGCCGGGTCTGCCTAGTCTTTACTCTCCAAACTTGAACAGAGTCCAAAATCGTCACCGAGCCCTCCCTTGTGGGTGACGAATTATTCTCTCTCTCTCCTTTCTCTCTCTCCTCCCTCTCTCTCTCTCTCTCTCTCTCTCTCTCTCTTTCTCTTTCTCTCTCAATGTGACAAGCTTCTTGCTGCTCTATAGATATTTCCACAAAAAGTGCAAAGACGAAATACATTCACTGGTTCTCTCTCTCTCTCTCTCTCTCTCTCTCTCTCTCTCTCTCTCTCTCTCTCTCTCTCAATGTGACAAGATTCTTGCTGCTCTATAGCTATTTCCACAAAAAGTGCAAAGACGAAATACATTCACTGGTTCTGCCAGTTGAAAGCTTCGCGGCAAAGACACGACATGCAGCTTACATAGCAACAAACCACGCGCATTCCATCGGCGAGAAGTAAGTTCAACTCAAACAGTTTCTTCACGCGAGCTACTGCTCTGTGGAACCGACTCCCAAAAGGATGTTTCCTCGATCATTACAATCTTAACCTGTAACCCTGTGCCTCGTGTGGCCCCCAGGCCTTACACAGGGTGAACTTTACTGAAAAAAATATCAACAATACATTTTTAAAGCAGAATTAGCAACAATAATTTTCATAGGAAAATGGCCAACAATACATTTTATCTGTAGTTGAAGGCATACAGTTACGTTCAAAATATTTAGATTTTGGCATTAAATAACCTATAGAGGTTGATATATCGCTAAACAAAATCAAACAAAAATTTCTAAATTTCATTTCTTTCTTCTTGTATTAAGTTTGCTGTAAATTGTAGGTAGGTTGTATGATTTCTTCTTCATTTTTTCCACAATTCATTCTCTTTCTTGATTATTTTTCTCTGACTTTCAACGGCAATACTTCTTTCCTTCTTTTTCTGTATATTTCTATGTGACCACCTTTTTCTTTCAATTTTTTTAAATCAGTTTGGAAGCACTAAATTTAAAGTCTCCCGCCGACAAATGATTTTTTTTTATGTCCCTGCTTTCTTTTTACTGCATCAAGATTCAAATTGACTTTTCCAGAAGCATTTTAAAAAGACAACCGTTTAAGCAGAATTATAAAGGCATTAACGGAATTATTTAATACTTTTACAGCAACAATTTCCACATTAACAAAAAAAAAAAAAAAAATACACCGGTATAAACTTCTTTCCAGCCCTAATTTCATTTCCGCCAGCGCCATTTTTTTTTTTTTTTTTTTGCCTGCGATTTTGTTTGATAGAAGGATATTGATGTATAGCGGCCAGGTACAAACAAAATAACTCTTTGATCTTCGACACATTTAGATATATTTGTAAAGCATATTAAATTTGAATTATATAACGACGAGGATTCTGCCACATATGGCCCGGTTTTTCTGCTATTTATTTAGAGATTCTTGGTAGGAACCAAATAAGAATCAGCAATATTATTAGTCCTGACCTGGTGTCTTGGCTTCAGTTACTTTCCCGCTATTGTAATTTAACTTTCCAGTGCTTTTTCTATAAATATTTTCATGATAATTGTTTGGATGAACACTTTGTAATGGTACATAGAATTTAAGTGCAGTACCAGATTGGTAAGAAGGTCACATTAATTTACAATTGAATTGGTTAAATGTAACCCTAAGTTCTGTGCTAATAGTTTCTTTTCTCGTACTTTTCGCTTGTGGAACTCTCTTTTGGCTTATTGCTTTTCAGCCAACTTTGATCTTCAAAAATTTAAATGCAATTTCAATCGTTATCTTCTTGATTACTCTTCTATTTTCTCTTTTCTAAATGTTTCCCTTTCTACTTTTTCTTTCGCACTCAGCAATCCCTTGTTATCTTAATGTCATTACTACATTGAATAGGGCGAAATGATTAAAAAAATTATGGAGAGAGATGTAGGCCTCCGTGTTGGGTCTTAGGCCCTGTTGGAAGATGAATGCAAGCCACAACTAGTGATCACTTTAAACACCATGATGTTGACTGGATATAACATCCAAATTTTTCCGAATCCTCTGCACTGTCACACAAACAATCTGAAATGTTCGTATTGAGCTTACGGTGCGAATGCCAAGCAGTACAGCATGCCGTTTCCAAATTTCTAGCGAAGTGAATTGCGTCATAGTGCTCTTTTTCTCACAGAAGGTGCCCACATGCGCAGACGACAAAATCAAAAAACAAACATGCATACGCGAAATTAAAAAATATAAAATAACGATAATTTACCCACCGCACCCTATATATATATATATATATATATATATAGAGAGAGAGAGAGAGAGATGGATAGATAGATAGATAACTCCCCCTCCCACCACCAAACATAATCAAACACAAATAAGCATAAAAAGATCCAATTTTAAAAAATAAACCAGTTTGTCTGATGATCGCAAAATCGTGAAACCGAAGGTCACAAACTTATATCCATATAACTGAATATATATATATATATGTGTGTGTGTGTGTGTGTGTGTGTGTGTGTGTGTGTGTGTGTCTGTGTCTGTGTCTGTGTGTAAAATATATAGAAAATCGGAAAGAACTCGTTAGGTAAATAATCCAAAGTTCTTTAGTATTTTTGTTATTATTTTTAAAAAATAGTGCTCGATACAAAAGTAGAGCATAAATATAATTATTTATTTAAAAATATGATTCCAACGCTACATAAAAGTTCTCATGTTTCAAAACAAGAGCCGAAAACTTCAATATAATTATTTGAATTAAATTGAATTAAAGTACAAAGCTCTGTTCTATCTTCAAGCGAATTGGCGAGAATGGAGAGAAGAGCAGATGTCAACTTGGGATTTGAGGTTGTTTTCAGACAATTACAAGTTTAGGAACTTTTCCAAGTTGTTGAAGATGACGATGAACAGTTGTATGGTTTGAACTGAGAACCACTGCCAATTTCTCAACTGATAAAGCAGGATTTTCTTCAAGGGCTGCTTCAAGAAGCTTTTCATCAAACCCAACTGGACGTCCGGTTCAATCTTCATCTTCAAGGGTGAAATCTCCACCTCTGAATTTTGCAAACAATCTTCTGCAAGTTCTTTCATTCATACATTCCTCTCCATAAACTGAGTGAATATTTCTAGCCGCTTCGGCTGCTGAGTTTCCTTTCTTGAACTCATAAAGCATTATGTGCCTCAAATGATTCTTGGGTACTTCCATGTTAGCAGGGTTTTAATCAAACAAAATTTAATTTTATTGTTCTCCTCCATTCAACTCCATTAGACATTATAAAATACTCTTTAAATTGCGTTCATTTTAACAAAAAGTTAAAATTCGGACAGAACTTATGGGATGACCTGATATATGCGCGTGTCTCTGTCAAATTCGTCGTACTCTACGTTGTTTCTAAGTAAATGTTGGATTTTTATTCATAATCCGACAAAAAATATTATTACTCTATATATTATATGCAGTAAATATACGTGTTTTGAGTAGACATCTCTATTTTTAAACAGTAATTTGTACGTCTACTGGCCTTTATTATTCTATGATCGTTTTTATCTAATAAAATACGCTTAAAAGAAGACTACTGTATAAATATGTTTCAGATATATAGATAGATAGATAGATAGATATATAGATAGATAGATGAATGTCACTTACACCCAAAAGTAAACACATATAGTGTATGAAAAAACTATTTAATATATATATATATATATATATATATATATATATATATATATATATAATTAAGAAATATACATAATACCTTACATTAATTGCACAACTCCGAGTTGAAACTCGGAGTTGTGCTGAACCAATTATCATGTGCTGAAATTATTATTATTTTTATTTTGGGTTGACACCGGTTTTTTAAAATATTTTTTGTTCTCACAAGATACTGTATTATTGGCGTGGAATATTGTTGTTGTTAAAATATTTAAATGAATTATAGTTTAATTTTGAATTTGAATTTAGGCCCAGATTAAGATTTAAGATTGAAAATAATACTGGAGATAAGAAATATAAATTCTAATTTAGAGAGATGCTGATGTAAAAAAAGTAAGTAAAGAAGAAGGGACTTTAAAAAATCAAAGGGGTAACACTATTTTTCGAAAATCAAGAGTCATTAATAATATTAATATTAATATTACTAAAGTAACTAAAACAAATGATATTAATCATCATAAATTATAAAATAAAATAAAATAAAGTACTAATAAAAAATAGTACATATCAATGAAAAGAAAATAATGGCAAATGAAATCACAGCCTTATATAGGAATATATAAATATGTAAATAAATTCTTTAAAATAATTAAATGAATTGTAGATAACTTTTAATTTGAATGTAGGCCCAGATTGACATTTAAGATTCAAAATAAGATTGGAAATAAGAAATATAAATTCTAATTTAGCGAGTCGTTGATGTTAAAAAAGTAAACGAGAAGAGACGTTAGAAAATCAAGGGGGTAACTCTATTATTTTCGAAATCAATAGAGTAATTAATAATATTATTAATATTAATATTACTAAATTAACTAAAAATAGTGATATCAATAATAATAAAATATGCTTCGATAAAATAAAATAAAGTATTAATAAAAATAATACATACCAATGGAAAGGAAATAAAAGAAAAGAATACAAAATAAAATAGAATAAAATAAAATAAGGTAAAATAAAATGGGGAGCCACATATAGGAACAGATAAATATGCAAATAAATAAATAAATAAGGCAAATAAATGAATAATTAAATAAAAACAATAAATGTTAATCGATGAATAAATAAACACGTTTCTAACGGTAAGACTAAAGTTAAGACTAAAGGTAAAAAAAGAGACAAAAAAAAACAAAAAATAAAAATAATAGTTATATGCTAAAAATGATAGTGAAAATTAGTGACTTGACAATTGTGGCAGCATGAAACTCGGAGTTGTGCAATTAATGTAAGGTATTATGCATATTTCTTTGATATGCGTGTGGTAGAATGAATAATGGCCTGGAATTATTAATCGGAGAGCCGAGTTCCAATTCCGGTCGGGTTCGTTATATTCACTTACGTGCAAATGCACTTGAGAAAGGTATGAATCAACGTTTTCCTTCCCCAGGTATGGGTTAATTAGTAAGACATGTACAACTAAAACAAAAACTTGCTTCAAAATATTTAGATTTCGGCATTAAATAACCCATAGAGGTGTTGATACGCCTCTAAACAAAAACAAACAAACTACACACACACACACACACAAATATATATATATATATATATATGTGTGTGTGTGTGTGTGTGTGTGTGTGTGTGTGTGTGTGTGTGTGTGTGTGTGTGTGTAATTA